GCTGTTCTGATCCAATCCATGATCTGCTCCTAGTCCATGTGAGGTCCCCTGCCATTGATTTTACTGTAACTTGGTGTGCATTCTCAAGAGAGCAGAAGGTTCCTGACTTCAGCCTGTAATTAATTTGTTCAAACTAATGGACACGGGATGGTGGGATGTGCCCCAGCACCCTCACAGGGCATCTGTCTCCTTTGACCTGAACCCATTCCTATGATGGCCTTGGCTGCCTGCTGCAACTCATGGGTCACTGTGGAGGACACAGGGGCTGCTGGCGAGGACAGCATGAAGCTATGTAAGGGGCACTGAGGAAACCTTCCGTGTGTCTCTGCCGGGATGGATGAGCTCAAGAAACAATAATTTCTGAGGCTGCCTTCATCCTGTCAATGCTGAGCCATCCTCAGTCTGACTCCCATCTGAAGTGGAGCGGTGAGGCAGCAGAAACACCATGGCGAAGTACTTTGCCTTGTAGTGACACCAGCCTATATTACTTAAGTCTTCTGTGTGTAAAAAAAAAAAAAAAAAAAAAAAAAAAAGACATCTGAAGTGCTGTGAAGCTGATGCGGTGCTGCTGTGCTTCATCCCCTGCACCCACTGAGCCAGCTGCCAGGTGGACTCTGGCTTCTGTTGGTTGCCAGAGGTGCTTTTGCTTTCCTGTGTCACATTAAAGCCATGCAAATAGTTTCTATAGCAACAGGTCTTTTTTGCTTAGCTCTGACGCAAAATCCTGAAAGGTCTTTCTTGTTCTGTCTTCCTCTAATTCCGATTTTTGCTTTTGTCAATTCTTTTTGAATATAAAGAGGAGAACATTGGTTCAGCTTTGTTTTGAGATTTACAGGTTACTGTTTGGTTTGAAGAGACCACTGAAGTTTCTACACCGAGGCCTGGACTTTGGGCTGAAGGAAAAATCAGCTGGAATAATCTCGAGAGTGACTTGACTGCACATAAAATGCTCGTTCTTGTTCCCCTTCTCCCAGACATGTATTTTGAATTAAAACCTTAGCTTTTCATTAATGTGATGTGTCTAAGCTTAAGAACTTGAGCAGTAAATTCTCTTAGCTTTTCTGTGGTGGTGGAGAATGAAAATGGTGATATTTGGAGTCTCCTTCAGCTTCTTACAGACCAGGCCTGGGCACTGGTGTGACTGGCAAAAGCAGAGGTAGGACTTGCTGGGGCCGATGTATGACCATGCCCACCTTCTGGCTAGCAGAGGAGATGCTGGTCCTGTCCCCCTGATGTAGGTGATTGTGTAGGTGGTACTTGGAATGAAAGCGTTGCCTCGCTTGAGAAGAAGAATTTCCTTTTTGGATTAAGGTTGAGGAGCCCATCTGGGCTGCAGGTTCCTTGCTTTGTCCGGAAACCAAGCTAGCAGTATCTATTTCTAAGCCCTCCTTACATCTAAAAGTCTTGTTGACTTCCATGCTTTCGCTTTGGAGATCCTGGTGCTGCAGGAGGAAGCGGTGGAAAAGCTGCAGTTACATTAGAAGGGCAGGTGAGTGTTTCAGAGCTGAGACTTAGCTGCTGTGACAGCCACAGCACGTGTGTGAGCTGGGACAGAGCTGGGGAGAGACTTTTTAGATCTTGTCCAGAGTGGAAAAGGTAAATGTTTTGGAGCCTGCAAGCCAGGAAACCGAAATCAAGCTGGTGAAGCAGGCAGCGTGCCCTAATAGCTCAAATGAAAGAACAAATTTGTCCCCAGCTTTGCTTCTGGCTTGATTAAACCGAGGCCGTTTCTCCTTGTGTCCTTTTAGCTTTAACTTCTCCAGAACATGTGCTGCAGGATGCAGATTGAGCTTGTCAAGGCCCTGTTTGATGCTGTTGCAAATTGAATGACTTAAAAAAAAGGCAGGCAAAAGTTAGATAGAATGGTATTGCCTCCCTGCACAAAGTGTCTGAGTTGCTGCCAAAGCAGTCTCTCCTGTGTAATTACTGAAAACAAGTGCTGTGGTGGGACATAGCACAGCACCCTCTTGCAGCTGCTCTTTCCTAACTTGTCGGCACAAGGCTTGGATTTCGGAGAGGGATGTGTAGGGATAGGCAGGCTTCAAGCCATGTTTATTTTCAGGAGAACAAGCTCATGAAGTATGAGCAGAAGGGACTGGAGCAGGGTAAGTGTGCCTGGGGGCTCTCCACACCATGGCCGTTTACTCGCATAGTGGCCTTCCATCTCACGTTTTTGTTTTACCTTTGTGTCCCGGTATCATCTGGCAGTTGTGAAGGGGTTACTGGAGGGGCTGTGGCTGAGCTGGTTTCTTCCTGCGTGGGCTCTGGCCTTCCTTCTCAAGGAGTAACTTCAAATCAGCACACCTTGCTGCAGGCACTGATATTTCAAGTTGCAACAGGGCAAGTTTAGGCTGGACATTAGGAAGAAATTCTTCACGGAAAGAACTGGAGTAGACTGCCTAGGGAGGTGGTTGAGGCGCCATCCCTGGATGTGTTTAAGTGTCGCTTGGATGTGGTGTTGGGTGATATGGTTTAGGGGTGAACTTGTAGTGTAGGGTCAATGGTTGGACTCCATGATCCCAAGGGTCTTTTCCAACCTGAATTGTTCTATGTTTCTATGATTCTATGTTTTGCAGCTGAGCAGGTCACATCTGTGATCTGGCTGAAACTTGCTGCTAATATTGAATAAATTTGAGGTGCAAGGTTGGAGAGGCTGAGGCATCCCGCAGCCCTGTAGTTGTAGTTTTGATGCAGGGATCCGTTTGCTTACGCACACCTCTAAAACTCCCTTAGCTGTGAGGGGGCATTGCCCAACTGCTGTGACTCTGGGCTGTAGGCTAAGGAGGATTACACAAGAAGGATGGATGATCTTGGTGTTCGTCTTTGCTTCAGCTGTGAGGAGGGTGTGGAGTGTTTGCTCTTGAAGTTGCTTGTGTGGTACCTCACAGGTCGCTTAACCTTCTTTTGTGCCCAGCTTTAAATAGGACTAACAGCTGTTTCCATGATACAATCCAGCTCTTCAGCATTCGTGTAACAATTAGGTTAGATAAAGTTTGTAAGGATCTAATAATATATATTTTATGCATAAATAAGTGTGTACATGTTTATTTATGAGACTCAATGGCTGAAGTACGTCTGTAGCTTTGGCCTTACACTGTGTTGTACATTACCATGACTCTTAATGAGAAAATGGCCATTTCTGGTTGTTCAGAACAGCCCGCTTTGAGCGCGCTGACGTAAATGCCTATCTAACATCAGGCCCTGATATGCTCCTGGCAAGGCTGGTGGTCTAATAAAAGCAGCAGTCGTTCTGGAGGTTCTCGGTGGGTCCGACTGGATTGTGTTTTAATAATGCTGGGTGCAGTGAAACCACTGTTTGCCTTCCTGCTGTAGAAATGGCACATCTGCAGAGGTGGGGGAGCGAAGAGCCCAGGCGGCTGCTCTGTCTCCCCTTCTCTCTCCTCCGAGCCTGCTCTGTTTCAGATTCTGGCTGCACCGGGTTGAATTTGTACTGACACAACCGTGTGGTGCTCCCCATGTAATCAAAATCCTTTCTGGCAGTGTTTGGTGTAAACTAGGCTCTGAAATTTGAAGAACGAAATCATGGGCCTTTACAGAGTTGTTTCCTGGCCTCTTCTGCGTGTTGTCATTGTGTTCCCCCCCCTCCCCAATTCCTGCTCTCTGACCTGATCAAAAGCCCTCTGGGGTTGAGCCTTGCTGTCTTGCAGATTGCCAGCCATCCTCAGGAAAGAACGTGCGTTGCGGGCGGAACATCTTGCGCACAGTTTCCAGGGTTACCTGTGTAGTGCTGATAGTGAGCAGGAAATTAAAATGCTTTGTGATGATGATACGTTATCGACAGCAGATGGTGGCCATTAGGTGTACGTGTGTGTCGGGGGAAGGCATAAAGGCAAATAGAGCAGACACAACTATTAGATTTGTGTAATCACTGCTGCAGATGCTAAGCTTCATGGTGGGTGAAGCAGGGCAGTCCCTGAGCACCCTGGTTCCCCTTCTGGCCATGGTGTATGTGACTCCAGGTCCTGAAAGTAATTCCAAGTAGCCAGTGTGGCTTCAAGCTAACTTGTTTGCAGAGTTCCTTGTTCAGGTTATCAGCTCGTCTGTGCAGCTAGTTCTCTCTCGCTGTTCTCTCTTTCTAATCTCTCTCTTCTATACAGCTTTTCTCTCTTGTCCTACAAAAGGATTGGTCTCTGGGATTGCTTGGGGATGTATCGGGGGGCTGGTACATCTGGGAAATCAGCTGAGGTTCTGTTCTGTTGATCTCTGAGACTAGCAAAATATTGTGTAATATGTTCCTTTTCTTACTGATCTGTCTCTTCCTCCTTCTAGCTTTGTGAGTTTCTCTACCTCAATTAGCTTTTAACTCCGAGGAGCAGGATGAGGTCGGAGTTTGCATATGTGTGCCTGCTTTCCCTTCAGGATGGCAAATATCTCCCCAATCTGGGGATACAAATCTGTCTCTGACTTTTGTGTATGCCTAAATGCCTGCTAGCTGGTGTGCTTTCAGGATAATATAAGAGTATCTTCTTTATGTACAAAGCCTCCTTGAAGATGGTGTGATGCTCCTGTTGAAGTCTTTGAAGAAATTGCTGTGATGGGTTAGTTTTTCCTCAAATTTCAGACTTGGCTTTGCTTGTGGTATGTTGAACCACTAATGGCAGCCCACTTAGAGATGGTGTGCTCTCCTCCTCAGTACTGGCTTTTTTATCAGCTGTGATCTTAGTTACTCTTAAGATGCCAGTAACTCTACGAAGACCAAACTTGTTCTAACATGGGCTCAGACTATTATTTAGATAAACCACTGTAGGCTGGCTTCTGGTGTAGCACGTAGGTTGTCTGTCATAGCAATTGTGTCACGGTTTGCAAGCCAAAGTATACTTGTGATGTTACTCCTTACTTGCCTCCTGTATCTTAACCCTAAAATCTGTAGTTCTGAGAGAGCTATGCTCTTGCTAAAAAACTCTTTCTCAGATACTAGCTGGAAGAACCTTCCATTCTTGTGCATTTATTTTTTTTTTAATGCAACTGTTTAATTTCAGATGTTCTGAATGACGCCATCTTTGATGAAGATCATGATGAGATGGTAATTGTGAAGGACATAGACATGTTCTCATTGTGTGAGCATCACCTCGTTCCATTTGTTGGAAAGGTAACTCTTCCTCACAAAACCGATGTGGGAATATATGATAAAAGACCTAAGGTACAATGTAAAAGACTTTGTAGCTGTAACTACAAAGCTTTTAAAGCTGTAAGTATTTACTGCTTACGGCTATGATTCTAGAAGTTGATCTTCCGAATACAAATAAGGAAGACCTCCTTAGTGTGAGTTTTATTTGGATTTAAGCTCCTAAAATACAATGCTCAACCTTTCCCAGTCTACGTAATCTAATGGTTTCTGACATTTCATATCAAAGCTCGTTGTGAAGCAGCAGCAAGCCTGGAGGGCAGACATCTTGATATTAAACCGGCTCACCCTGCACGCTGGCTCTGTCATGGGTTTAGCTTCTGGCTCAGAGCTCTCTAGTGCACGCTCATCTCGGGGAACCCTCCCGTGAGTGGAATAAACTTCTGACTAGCAGCCTTGTCTTAAATAAGTGAGCCCAGTCAGGGAGGGGGTGGTCAAAATTGACTGGCAGGAGGAGCTGCTTAGGTTGCGACTCCCATGAAAGGGGCTGGTGTTTCAGACGGTGTTGAAATTGTGTTGCCAACAGCTTTAAAGAGAAAATAAGAATTCTCCAGTTAACCACTGTAAACGTGATAGTTCTGAGTAGTCCCATCTGCAGATCTCAGCCTCTTCACTCCCGTATCAGCACAGAAGGATGGAGCTTGTTCTGATCCATCTGTTCTGCCATAAAGTACTTGCAGGCCGGAGAGTAGCAAGTGATTTTGTTGTCAATAGAATTCAGTCAGTACCACATATGTTCCAAGTAAACTGTCTCCCAAAAATAAAGTATCCAAACAGAAACCAGCCATTTATTTAGCTGAGTCAACTTAACTTCATTGACTTTTTCTTACTGTTAGTATTTTATACTGGAAAGCAAGGTAATGTCTTTTTTCTATGCAGGGTTTCTATTTTGCCTGTTATTCTTGGTTACACGTACTGTGTGTATTCTCTTCATTACTCCTGTGGCAATATGTGCGTTCTTTTTACATCTAGCTTTTTAGCCTTTGTGGTTTGGAGAAATCTCACAAACACCGAATCGGTCCTGCTCGTATAATGGTCTGCTAAATAACTTGGGTGTGCCTCTAAATATTCTCAGACTAACCATTCTGCTGTTGGGTACATCAGACAGGCAGCAAATACTGATCAGTAGGTCTTGTATTTGCAATTCTATCTTAAATGAAGAAATTTGCCAAAACACTCCGTGGGGTACAGGATTCACCTGTGGATATCTAAGTTACGTCTCTCGTAACTTAGAAATAACAGCTTATTTCTAAGTTATGTCTCTCACTTTGAAATGTTTCGTGTCTTTTCAGGTGTCAGTGGGTTGATTACCCAAGAGAAGTGATAGGAATGAGCAAGTTAGCCAGGTAATTAGGTGCACTGTGGTACCTCTAAACAGGTACAGCAACACAGGATTCGGAGATGGGGCCTCTAGGCAAAGCACTCAGAAAGAATCTTACACTGACTCCCCTACTGGATCTTGGCTAATTTTTCAAGTCTCTGGTAGAGCGACACAAATGCTGGTTTATAATCTGTAAACCCACTTAAATTCAGCAGCCTACGTTGCTTTCAAAAACCAAGAAGCTAAATGCCTTTCCCCCTACCTTTGTAAGTGAGCACTTTTCTACTAAAGGACTTACTCCAACTTGGTGCCACTATGTGTTTGGTACGAATGTACAGTAAATCAGTATCCGAGCAGGATGGAAGTTGACTTAATCATGCAGTGATCTGTGCTACTACCGAAGCAGAACAAAAACATGTAAAAATTAGTAAGAGCAGCCTGATTTTGGTGGTTAAATACTTTATGCCATCAGATCTTTCACTGGAAGGCAAGTACAGCTCCTCTCCCTCCCACTCCCTAAATCCATTGTAGGTCTTGAAAGAAAAACATGTTTATTTTAGATGAGCAGTGCTGTGCTGAGTAATAGACTGCTTTTTTGTACCCAGATGCCGTAGTACTCTGTAGCATTCCTGAGACTTGGAACATAAGCCTTGACTCTTGAAGAGTTGTGATTTTTCTTCTTTTTTTTTTTCCCCCCCTCCCCCACTCAGACAACTTACCTCTTCTTCACCAGGACACTGACCTCACCAGGCATTTGCAGTCTCTGTTAGCTTCACAGTTTTTCAGGCTTGCATGGTGGCATGTTCCTCCCACATGCTAAGACTTCTCGGACCGTTCCAGAGTTAGTTCTGGGGCAAGTGCACATCTCATTCTCTATGCATGAGTTTCACGTGCGTTTGGAAGTGTGGTTTTGATTCTGTTAATGGGTGTTCTCCTCTGCCTAGGTACACATTGGCTATCTTCCTAACAAACAAGTACTTGGCCTCAGCAAGCTTGCTAGGTAAGTGTTAAATGTAATGAAAGTGATCCTAATTTGTAAAAAGGATTCCAATCTGTGCTAACTGTGCTAATCTTTCTAATCTGGTTCTCCTCTGAAGCTCCGCACACTTTATGTCCTGGCTTTGGATTTAGACGAATCCTCAGTGTTATGTGTTTCTTGGAGAGGACAGATAAATCTTAGAGCTCTGTGTTAATTGACATCAGTCGCCTGTAGTACAGCTGTAACGCTTCTGTATGTTCATCCAAAGCATTGGTGTCTGCAGGGAGGACAGAAGCAGGAACAACAGAGAATTTAGTCACTTTCTAAGGCAGGCCATGAAAAAAGAGAGGATTTCTAGCTGTATACTACTTGTGTCTATATTGACTGATAAGAACAAAAATCCAGAGCTTCCAAAGTGTAAATGAATGTGTTCTATAGACAGAAACCGACTCTGAAGCTTTTGTGTGTCAGCTGACTTTTCAGATAAATTTGACGTTTCTTTCACTCGAGACCCTCTGAGAGCGCTACGGGGTAAATTTTATGGATAAGGTTCAGTGTAAGAAACAGAGCAATTATGATACACTTGAGAAATCCATTTCTTATGTAAAACAGCTTTTTCCTCAGCAAGTAGCCTAGGATCGGTTGTTGCACTGAATCTTGTTATCAAGTGACATTTTCTAGTTCTGGGGAGGAAGAGGGTGGTAAATCCCTTCGATAAGCAGATTACTGGGGACCAGAGTGGAAGGGTCTCTTTTGAGAAACGAATCTGGAAAACTGTCTGTGGTTCAGAAGGACGACGTAAGTTTTCCTTCCACTTTCCCTGATGTGTCTGTTGATCTCTCTGTAGTTCCAATAATACTAATGAGACTTAGCCTTGTAAATCTACATGCCTGCAGGGTTCTCTTAGCGGGTAAGAAGCGTGTAGGGTATGATACAGAGATGCTTGAAAATCGGCTCTGTTCTGTGCTCTGCTTGCACAACAGCAAATTTGGTTTGGAAGTGGAAGGATCCTTGAAGGTCGCATCTTTGTTAACAGAACTTGTATTAGAGGGAGACCATCTCCTTGTCTTCTAGCAGTGCTCATAGAAGTGGACTTTGCTCTAATTAAAAGGCTGAAAGGCCGTTCAACATCTAAATTTTTATTTTCCTGAAGGCTTTCTATGGCTGTACCTAACTTCTGAAATTGTAGGGTCAAGTTTTGAGCAGTCAGCATGGCAGTTGCTGGGTGAAAGACTTTGGTTTTTTGTAGCTGCTTATGCTTGGGGATGTCTGCATGGCCATTCCTGGCTTGTGCTGTGTGTTGTCTGGCGCTTGTGTGGCTGGATCTTCTCAGATTTTTATTTTTGAGTTGGATTTCGGAAAGTGAACATCCTTCCCGAAAAGACTGTCTTGAGCATTTGGTTTCATGTCTGTAGGGCTTGAATGCAGGATTCAGGATCACATCTGAAATACGCATCAGTTGATTTGTGCTTGCTCTAGTCTCTAGTTACCTCTGAATTGCAGATGTAAAAAGGGAGCTCAAAACTGTCTTTGGTGATTTTTAATGCAACTGGCAAGACGGTGTGCTAGGAGTCTATAATTTTCCTACTATTTATTCTCAGCATAGAGACGTGTGAACATGTGCAAGGCTTCCTGTGCTGTGCTTGAAAAGCTGAATCTTGCCTCTTTTTCAGGTTGGGGTAAAACTGCAATGATGAAAAGATTAGATTTTCAAGTAACAAAATGTTCTCAGCCCTAACTTACGTTTGAGTGCTTACCAGGAAGAGATTGGTGGGCCATGTAGTGCTTCCCTTGCGTGCCCTATATAATGCAAGCAGTGTTCAGACAAAGATTTGTGCTGTCGGCCTAATCTTTTGTAATAGGATTAGTCTAATGTGGTGAGTTTCTGTAGTTGTGGATGACCTGTATTCAGTAAACAAACATCTTTCTTTGCAGTTTAAGCACAGGCTTGAAAATACTAATACAGATAACTGTTTTTACATAAACATGCTCATAGGGCTTCTTACATGCAACACCAGTGTAGAAGTATCTGAGCTTCAGCTTGTTTCCTATCCATGCATTCAATCTAAATATTATATTGCTTTGTTACAAATAGCTGTAACGCAACCATTTCATTTCTGGAGGGGAGTTTCTGTGTGTAATTCTTTCTCCAAAACAGCAGGCAAGTCTCATTGTCAGAAATGTTTCTCGTAACTAATGCCTCAGGCTGCCAGCCAATGTCTGTTTTTTGTCTAGTCTGACCAGATGGGTATTGAAACTTTCTATAGCGACTTCTTTACATGGCTGCTTGACAAGTAATTAAGCATTTGAGGTTGGCATGAATAACCCGTTGAGTTAGAGCAGTTATAAGACCATTCTTAAATGTGTGGATAAGTGATGGTAGTATCGCTTGCATCGCCCCCCAAATGGCTTAAATTTGACGTTGTGTTTGGGAGGGAGCATTAAGGTGATTCTGCACTGAAATGTGAAGGATGGCGTGATGTATGGGTGGAGAGTATCTGCTTTAAATAAAAAAAGCCACCACAATTCGGTTTCATTGTTTTTAGTTAAATTTGTGGTTAAATGCAAGAATCTGAAACATCTCTTGCTTAATTTCAGTAGCCTTCTGGGAATACCAGGATCTGAATTGTCCTTAAAACAGCATCTGGTCTGGATTGAAGCAAAAGGAGGTGGTTGGACATCGGTTTCAGGGATGCCAGCAACGCCCACCAGGGGCTCAGCAGCAGCCTGATGCTGCATGGATTTCCAGGAATGACAGGGATCAGTGCATTGGTCTTGTTTGATAGTGCCAAGTTTAATTTGTGAAGATCAGACAGTGGTCAGGTGGGAATAACTATAATGTTATCTTTTTTCCTTTCTCCTTTAGGATCGTGGAGATATACAGTAGAAGATTACAAGGTAAGCAGGTGGATTTTTGGGTGTGTGCTGTGCGCTTTCTGCTAGACAGCTCGGGGTACCAGTAACTGTAGGCAGATGAGAGTTGTGTGAATTTTAATGTGAAGAAAACCATTGTGCTCTTGAATACGTGTTTCTCATCTGTTGTCTTACCCTTCACTGGAAATGCAGAGGCTAGGTAACATCTGCCTATGAAAAGAGGTAGAGGCAGTAAGTGATTTAGAGGATAAATGTGCTACAAGATACAGCTGCCAGGAATAACTAAACTCTTGGGTGCTGCTGGAGATGGAGTCTCATACAGGTAGTTAGAGAGATACCTTCAAGAATTCTTGTCTAGAAGAGCTGCTATGTTGTGGACTGCCTGCTGCTCCCAAGAAGTGGAGGAAGCTGCAGGATCTGAGGCCTTGGGTTGGGCTCAGCCTGCTCTCAATGACCTGCCATTCAGTTTGGCGTCTTCTTGGTGACAGAGGTCTTTGGCTGTTAAATGTCAGACTGGGGAATAGAGGGTGCTAGAACTGCAGGAAGTAAAGCATAGCAGTTCAGTAGACTCTCTAAACATTTTTTTTTAAAATTATTTTTTATTCTCCATTGCCTTTCCTTAAAATGAGAAATTGTGTGTAGGGAGTGAATAGTGCGATAGTGAAGCCAGTGAACAAATACGTAAAAACTGAAAGAAAATAGAGAAGCAAGAAAAATATAACTGCATAATGGAAAATGTAAGATGTATTACAACAAGTCATAGTAATGCAACTCCTGCAAAGGTATAATGCAAAATCACTTCTGATTATAAACAAGCAAGTAAAAGGCCTGTTGCAGGATATGAAATGTAAAATAGGATTTGGTACTAATAAAACTTACTCAGGAAGAGGAGTCCTTGGGTGGGCGGATGGTGGTGGTGGGGAACAGGCACGCCTGGAAGTGAGGAAGCAACGTTTCTCTTCAGATCGTGACATGCATTGACACTGCTCAAATTTAGCGTTGTGTCTGACCTCCCTGTCATTCTTTTTCAGTCCAGGAACGCCTTACCAAACAAATCGCAATAGCTATCACCGAAGCCTTACAGCCTGCTGGAGTTGGAGTGGTTATTGAAGCTACGTAAGTTATTCGGAGCTCTTCCCTGTTGGCTACGTGTGATTCCAGCTGTGGAGCTGCTGCGCATTGCCTCTCTGGCTGCGGTAGCTGTGCTGCCCTGCTTGTTTGTGAGGCAGAGTGTGGACGGGAGCGATCCTCACCCCTTCAGCGAAATGGCCTGGGGGGTTGGAGCCAGTTCAAGTGGGGATCTGTCCGAGCCACTGCAGACATGTGGCAACTGGCAGTGTGGTTGGCTGTCCCAGTCACACTGCATACCTGCTCTGCCTCTGCACGCCTTTTACTTCATAGAATCATAGAATGGGTTGGAAGGGACCTTAAAGATCATCTAGTTCCAACACCCCTGCCAAGGGCAGGGACATCCCCCACTAGACCAGGTTGCTCAAAGCCTCATCCAGTCTGGCCTTAAATACTCCCAGGGATGGGGCATCCACAGCCTCTCTGGGAAACCTGTGCCAGGGTCTCACCACCCCTGTAGTAAAGAACTTCTTCCTAATGTCTAATCTGAATCTACCCTACTCTAGTTTAAAATCATTGCCCCGTATCCTCTCACCACATGCCCTTATAAAAAATCCCTACTCATTTTTGCAGTAGCTGCCTTTAAATACTGTGAGGCCACTACACGGTCTCTCTGGAGCCTTCTCCAGACTGAACAGCCCCAACTCCATCAGCCTGTCCTCACAGGGGAGGCGCTCAGCCCCTGATCATCTTTGTGGTCTCCTCTGGACCCGCTCCAGCAGGTTCATGTCCTTGTGTTGAGAGCTCCAGAGCTGGACACAGAATTCCAGGTGGGATCTCAGCAGAGCAGAGGGGCAGAATCACCTCCCTTGACCTGCTGGTGACACTTCTTGTGGTGCAGCCCAGGACATGGTTGGCTTTTTGGGCTGCCATCACATTGCTGGCTCACGTTAAGTTCTTCCTCTAGTAGAGCAGAGCTTGGGACTAGCGACAGGCGTGCCTCTGTGATCAGAATGCACCTTGGAAAGGTGTGATTTTCCTAAAAACAAGAGGAGAGGAGGCAGGGGGCTGAGAATTTGACTTCCTTCTCCCCAGGATACTACTCATAGATGCCTGTTCTGGGTGTGGAAGTTTTGCAACTTCCCCAGAATTTAATGTGAGCATGTAAGAAACATCTCTTTGTGGGATTATTTCTTTTTGGATATGCCTGATTTATTGTCCTCCTTCTCATGTCTTCTAGGCATATGTGTATGGTAATGCGTGGGGTACAGAAAATGAACAGTAAAACAGTAACCAGCACAATGTTGGGGGTATTCCGGGAAGATCCAAAGACCCGTGAAGAATTCTTGACACTCATCAGAAGCTGAAACTGTGTGAATTCTCTAAACGCACTGTGGAGATTGCTCTGTCCAGTGTCACTGTCTGTTCTTACTCGTTCTTACATCTCACTTTTAAACTAAATTGTTGTGAATTGTTGTCATAGTCTTTGTGTGATGAAAAGACTTCTGATGGCAAAAGAGAAATATAACGATGAGGTAGGCTCCTCCTGGATTCCCAATGATGCTCACGTCACAGAATTATAAACTATGAATAGCTTGTAATGTTTTTCCATCCACAATGGAGAATATACTGCTGTTAGGAGAAAAGTGGAGCTTGGGGGCGAAATGGGTATTTATGAAATAGTTATGTTTATTAGAATAAATGTGGAGAGGCACAGGGAACAGGGGAAAGGCTGTGAATCCTTCTGGGACCACTTATGCTGCAAAGACTGTACCTCTGCTGAAATGGATGGTCCTGAATTATCTCTGATCGTATTTTATTACAAGTCCTGCGGTAGCTGTTTCAGTATCTGGCTATTATACCTCACCGAGATGTTATTTCTGGTGGTGTTTTATATTCCTGCTAGTAATAACCCTCCTTTTTTTTTTTTGTCTGGGTTTTGAGTTTGGGGTTTTTTTAAAAATTTAAAACACATTTTTCCTAGCCTTTTAACATGTAGGCAATTAACTTCTAAATTATTTCGGGGTGCAGTCTTATCTCAATATGAAGGCTTTTGTGGACATTTTAATCTGTGCCTCAGATGTCTGTTGGTTTCTTACAGTTTTTAAGCAAACTTTAATGTGGGGGAGGAAAAGAAACACCCCAGAGTCTGTCTGTACAGGGCTAAGATACCCAAAGAGGTTTTTGGTGATATTTATATCTTGAGCTTTCCTTCTTAGATTGCCATGGGTTAAACTGAGGAGCTAAAATTAGTCTGATAATGTGGAAATTAAGATTTCTCGTCAAGCATTTCAAGGTTTTCATCTCATAGTTGTCGGACCGAAGGGGAGCACTGAAACCCTGAGCACAGCGCATCGTACCTCACCTGCCTGGTGGCAGGTCATTCCAGGGCAAAGTAACCTGAAATGACAACAGCTGATTTTGCAAGAGTGATTGGGGAAAAAGCATTTGTGGGGCCATCGAAATGAATTCAAGCACATTTTTTTGTGTATGTGGCAAGCTCTGTATGTGGCAGTATTGGTACAAAGAGTTTCAGTCGGCTGGACTTGGCTGAACTTCTTTGTTAGGATTTTAATGGTGTTTTATAACTCTTAATTGGAAAAACATGAGGCGCAAATGAAAACCATTGCCCTTCTCAAACCAAGCACAGGAGGTAAAAAACTTTAAAAAATAAAATGCCAGCCAGGGTGTCAGATGCCCACAGCGCAGGTTCCCACAGTCACATCTGTGCTGCCGAATATGAATCCAAGAGGTGTAGGATAACGTAAAACTTTGTTCCTGTCCTGGCAAACTTGATCTTACCAACATTCCCTTGCTTCAGCCTGTGTTGGAAACGAAATAAAAATCGTGTCTGGACAAACGTCCGTTGGGCCTAAAGAACTTTTCGAGAATGACAACCTTGTGCATATAATTTCACTCATTTTACTTTGATCGCCTTCACAGCATTATTGGAAAAATCTTTTGTAATAACTTCTGTCCTGGATCCTGTAGAGTTAGGTGCTATAAAAGTGTTTGGTAGTGTAAACAGGCAGTGTGGTGCACATGTATAGAAAAATACACTAAGTCTATGGCATTTGTTTTCCTTAAATGATTGAGAGCAGATACTGCCACTTCTCAGTTCAGTTTACGTTTCAAATATCCAGCGGAAAAGCCTTAAATCCTTTCTTGCCTGAAGTTCAGAGTTCTCTTTTTAGCTCAGCAACTGAAAGAAGAATTTGGGGACCAAAGGGACACCCATTAGTACATTTGTTCCTCTCTGCTTGCTTTAGTTCAGAAATTAAGTCTCTGTAAAACAGTCTTGCTCCTGAGGTAATGGAAAGGTTGCATTTTAGCCGCTTATCTCTTTGGGATAAAGTTCGCATTGCACCACCGCTGTTCTTTGTTTCCACGTGACCTGTAGTCCTTAAAACATACCTCTCTCTACTTGTGGCCTTGGATTTTGTTCGCATTTTTGTTATGGTAAGATTTGGTGTGTTTGTTTGTTGTGTTGGTTTTTTTTCTTGGAACGTTAGTATTGTTCAAATACACAAGCTTTAAACTACACCCAGTGTATATATCTGTATAGTACCTACAGCCTGCTGTTGTACTATGTAGACGTCTGTTGTCTTTAAAACATTAAAGCACAGTGTTGTCCTTTGCAGTGGTAGCATCTTTGGTGACTTGGAGATGATGGTATCCCCCAAGGAAGTGGCGCAAGCTCTCTCTCCTTGTGTGGGTGTTCTTTCTGCACTGGCGGGTCCTCCAAGCCTGTCATGACATGTTGGGTTGCTCTTCTAGAACAGCACTTGCTGTTGTGCCCCAATGAGTCCCCGTTTGTTAAGTGGCCAGCACAAAAACCCATCCAAGATCTGCTGTCCCCACCTTCTTACTGGTCCTCAGTGCCAGAGGAATCGACATTGGGGCAGGGAAAGTGGGAAGCAGTGGCTGCTTTGGAGTGGCAGTTGCACACATTGAGGTTCACGTGGGCTTATACTCCTCCTGTGCTCTTTTAAAGCCATTGTGGGTGTCTCATCACACTTAACTGAGGAAATGCCACGTTCCAGGTCCCATGTTCAAATTATCTGAACACAAACACGTGCTGGTGCAACAAGAGACCTTGGAAGCTGAAATCATGGTTGGGTCACCCCACGATGTACCCTAGTGATGTGCCTCTGCCAGCAGAAGCTGTGCCACTCCTTCAGGATGGGGGAGCTGTTTTAAAGACCCTCCTGCTCTCCAGGGAGGGGAAAGTAATACAAAATCTGCTCCTCACAGATTCTCAAGGAGTGTTGTACCCAAAGCTTTGCCAATGGGCAGTGTAGAGTGATTGCATCGATGGGTGAGTCTGACCTTCTGCAAACTGCCTGGCCTGCGCTGGCCCAGGCTTTTCTGCTGCCTGGAAGAGAAAAGGAGAGGAAATGGAATATGTTAAATGCTTTTATGAAAATTTAGCTCTGTCCCAACCCAAACTAGCACAGCTTCTTTCACCTCTTACTGCTCTGTACTGAAGTGCAAGATAAACCAGGCAACCAGAGGAGTTCTTGGGCTGCAGTGAGAAGCAGAGAAGGAATAATCAATGAAAGCTTCCTCCAACCCTTCGTGGTGTTGTGGGATATTTTGTGTAGTTTTGTAGGTTTTTTTTTCTGGATGGTCCATCTTATTTTGCAGTAACTCTCCTGGAAAGCCCCAGGAGCATTGTCAAGAATTGTCTTTGTCGTGAAGCCGAGTTACTTCTGTGTTTCTCACGGCTGTGTAGTAAAGCTGGTGATTGTGGTGGGAAACAGCCTGTTTGTTTAAAAAAAAAAAGGTGCTTCTGCAAGAGATTTTCTCTTCCGTGCCTCTTTGCTTTTTTTTTTAGGTGTGGGATGGGGAAGGAACCTCCTGGGTTTGTGATCATGGGAAAGTCTGTTTTCATTGGAATGAAAAAAAATATTCAACTTGAAAGCATTTACAGCTCAAAAAGCCCAGAAGCAGGCAATAACCAAACCTGTAAGAGAACCAAAATCTGGCAGGAAGGTGACATCCTCCCATCCCTAACCTACCTCATCTCCTGCTGCTTTATCACCTGCTTTATTCCTTTCCTGACACCCTCCTGTGGTACATGCTGCTCCTCGGTTTTTTTGTTTCTCAAGAGTTTCCTATATAATCAGCTTATCTGAGTTTTTCTTATCACTGTGTTGACATTGTCTGTCTCCCATCATCTCCCACACACGTGCTGTGCAGTGACTGGTCAGCGTGTCCCTAGGCCAGGTCCTTGGCACAAGCATTTTGATCCTGTCTCCTTGTGGGAACACACATAAACCTGTACCTCAAGGTGAGGTGCAGGTTTATGCTTTGGTCACAACGAGGAGCCATGGCAGGTGATGAGTCCTGCTTATCTCATGGTGTGAAGAAACGGCTTTGGTCCCCTTGTGTTGTGGTGTGAATCCCCCCCAGAGCTAGTGGGTCACTTGCTTTGCTAGCATGTCCCAGCTGTCCCCAATGTGGGAGCTCGATGGTGATGGGGATCCCTCTCCTGGAAAGCTGGGGCAGATGTCTCCTGCCCAGCTGCGTTGCCTGTGGCAGGACCTCCCGCCACCTTTGTGCTCCCAAGGCTGTGGTAGATTTTTGTTCTCCACTTAAAAGCCTAAGATCTTAAACTTCTTCCTCCAAGCACCCTCTTGTATACAAGATCCTGCTGCTGGTCATCGAGATTGCTCAGGTGGGTGATGAATAACAAATCTGCTTTCTGAGTGGCTGCAGTCAAGGGCACTGGTCACCCTGGAGGCTTTATGCAGCTGTCACAGCCTTCCAGCAGCTCATAATTGCTTTATGAGCTCCAATTGCTTGTTACCTGGCCTCGGGCTTCTGCCCCTGCTCTCTTGAGTGTTGTCGGAGTTGGGAAAGAGCCCCCGATCAGCTGTGCCCTTTGAGCCCTTCTGCCCAACTCCTGGAAACAGCCTTTACAAAAAGCTTTGCCTTCTGGTTGCAGTTAAAGTTGCAGTCGTGATTCAGTCGCTGGGAGACTATAAAACGTTAAGGCTCTTTTTAATATGCCTTTGGGCTGGGCTGTTAAGAAGGAGAGCAAATAAATTGCAGTAAAGAAAATGCGCTAAAACACCTGAAGAGTATCATCATGAGGACTTTAATTTTTTCTACAATTTTGTATTGTGGTTTCGGTGTTGTGGCTTTGCAGGGATGGTTTTGGCGGAGGGGCCCACACTGCATAACCTCTTTATTTGCTGTGCTGCCACATACTGAGATTGCAACAGTAAAGCAAAGGTTAAAAATCCACCAGGAGAGTGGTTAAATGAGCTACACAGGCCCGTAAACTATTCTAAAAAGCGCTAAGGCAAACCACAATGGTGCTTCTTCTGCCTGGGATTGTGCGAATGCCACCGAGGGAGCAATTCCTGGGTGGGTGCCCACCACCCAACCTTCACGTGTGACCTGGGGAACCTTCTACCGGGTGCTACAGGAGGGAGTTCATGTCTTGGCACCCAGGCACCCTCTCAGCATCCCGCTGGTCCCCTACAGAAGTCATATCTCACCTTACAGC